CAAGAGAACCCTGCAGAACCCAGCCACTGAGCGCACTGAGAACCACAGAGAGACCCTGGAAGAACCCAGATACTCAAAGGAACACATAATTTTCAAGTTCGAAATATTTCCACAAGTCTATACATCGAAAAAAGAACCCCCAAGATAATCCTGCATAACCCAGCCACTAAGTGGACTGAGAACCACAGAGAACCACTGGGGGAACCAAGAAATCCCACTAGCCCTCTTGGCGTCGGTGGTTTAGAAGGTTTCCTCTTCCACCCCTCCTTCTTCCCCTGCGGGGAGGGGTTTACCCCTCCCCCTACCCCCTCCCCGCTGACATGGACAGGGGGGGGGGGGCGCGTCGCGTTAAAGCGTCCAAGATCGACCCCTGGGAGGGTTAAAATTCGACACCCCTCACGAGGATCATGGCTCCTGAGGGGGGAACCCTAATTGAGGGACCATCTCCTCCAAGATGGCTCCAAGAGACGTCTTGGAGCCCCTCTTGGGCCCTGCGCGAAGGCTGGCGGAGCGCCGCCCGCTCGCCCGCAAGGCCCAAGAGCCAACCAAAACGTTCGAAGATACCTCCAAGACCCACCAGGGAGGAGGAAGAGGCGGAGGAGGAGGAGGAGGAGGAGGAGGAGGAGGAGGAGGAGAAGGAGAGGGAGGAGGAGGAGGAGAGGAGGACGAGAAGGCGGAGGAGAAGGAGGAAAAAGGGGAGGATAACAGCTGCCGATCATCGGCGCTCTTCGTTCGAATGCCTGGTGTAGGATGGGCTGGTGGGGATTGGCGAAGCGTCAACAATTAGACCTCGCCATCCCTGCGGGGGGCTGCGATCTATGAAACTGTCGCCATGTTCGAGGCCTGCTGGGGGGCTCAGCACACTGAGGGCGACGCGCAGATTCAAATTAGACCTCGCCATCCCTGGGGGGCTGCGATCTGTGAAACTGTCGCCACTTTCGAGGCCTGCTGGGGGGCCCAGCACAGTGAGGGCGACGCGCAAATTCAAATTAGACCTCGCCATCCCTGGGGGGCTGCGATCTGACCTCGCCATCCCTGGGGGGGCTGCGAATCGTGAAACTGTTCGAGGCCTGCTGGGGGGCCCAGCACAGTGAGGGCGACGCGCAAATTCAAATTAGACCTCGCCATCCCTGGGGGGCTGCGAATCTGTGAAACTGTCGCCACATTCGAGGCCTGCTGGGGGGCCCAGCGCAATGACACCACGGGCGGACACCAATCAGACCTCGCCAAACTTTGGGGGGCTGCGAATCTGTGAAACTGTCGCCACTTTCGAGGCCTGCTGGGGGGCCCAGCACAGAGACGCCACGGGCGGACCCAACTTAGACCTCGCCATCCCTGGGGGGCTGCGAATCTGTGAAACTCGCCACGTTCGAGGCCTGCTGGGGGGCCCAGCACAGTGACGCCACGGGCGGATTCAAATTAGACCTCGCCATCCCTGGAGGGCTGCGATCTGTGAAACTGTCGCCACTTTCGAGGCCTGCTGGGCGGCCCAGCACAGTGACGCCACGCGCGGACCCAAATTGGACCTTGCCATCCCTGGGGGGCTGCGATCTGTGAAACTGTCACCACTTTCGAGGCCTGCTGGGGGGCCCAGCACAGTGACGCCACGCGCGGACCCAAACAAGACCTCGCCATCCCTGGGGGGCTGCGATCTGCGATGCCCGCTTTCGATGTGGCTAGGGTTGCTCAGGGGTTGTAACTAGTCAGGGTAATGTAGTCCTTGTCCTGTAGCCAGTGTCCTGCGAGTCTCTCGAATTCCGTCTGCAGACATATGTAACCCTCGCTCCGTCATCGCCCCCCTTATAAAGGGTCCTAAACTATTTGCGCCCCGCGTTTGCGCAGGGGTTGAACACCTCCGCAACCCTCCCATTCCTCGACACTCTCCCGCACTCTTCCCAACATTTTTGGAACCCTCCCATTCCTCCACATGCCTCCGGCACTCCTCCCGGGACCTCCGCGACCCTCCCATTCCTCCACACATCTTCGCACTCTTTCCAACACCTCCGCAACCCTCCCATTCCTCCACACACCTCCGTACTCTTCTCGAGGCACGTATGAGCAATGGCAGACATGCGCGTGGCGGTTGAGGAAAATCATCATCATCATCATCATCATCATCATCATCATCATCATCATCATCATCATCATCATCATCATCATTATTATCATCCCTCCGTCTCCTCGCTCATCCCTCCCACCCTTCTCCTCCGTTCGCCGGCTCCCTCCCTCGGAGGTTTTCGGGAGTCTTCTGGGAGGTTCGGGGGCCTCGGCCGGGGAGGTTCCGGGAACACCCGATGGCCTCCAGAGGCCTCCGAAAGCCTCGGAGCCAGCATTCGGGGATTTGAAAGTCTCGCCAACGCATCGCCGACACATCGGCGATGCATCGGCGACATCCCACGACACCATTTGTCTGAACCCCATCTGGGAGGCCTCCTTGGAACTGCATCGTTCGCATCGCCAACGCATCGCCGACACATCGGCGATGCATCGGCGACATCCCACGACACCAACTGTCCGAACCCCATCTGGGAGGCCTCCTCGGAACTGCATCGTTCGCATCGCCAACGCATCGCCGACACATCAGCGATGCATCGGCGACATCCCACGACACCAACTGTCCGAACCCCATCTGGGAGGCCTCCTCGGAACTGCATCGCTCTGGGGGTATAACTGTACAGTCAACCCGCAGAGTGAAGATGGGCAACCCTCCCAAGGGTACCCCTGCATCCTTGCCCCTTCGGCCCATCCTCGGCCACTCGGGCTGGCCAACCTCCCTCGAAAAACGTTCACATGGGCCTCCAATGCAGTTGCATCCTCACCGCGCACCCTCGTGATACGGGTTCACTGTAGTCGTAAACGTCGGGCTAGCGCCTTCTGAGAAGCAGCTGCCAGGGGGGCCCAGCGCAGATCCAAAAAATCCGCGCGGAACGCCAAAAGTTTATTTTGTATGCCTGCTTGCTTTTCATCTAGTGGAGCAAGGAGGGGGAAGGGAGGTGGCGGTGGTGTATATGCTTGGGGCCCGCCGCCCATGGCGCGCGCCCTCCCGTGGCGGGTGGCACGGGCGTGCACGGGCGCAGGGCGCGAGGAGTGGCCAGCCCGGATGCCTTGGCGGGCGGCGCGCGCCCCCTGAGATGTCCGAGGTGACGGAGCAGCTGCAGCATCGCATGCGTTTGTTCATTAATTCTTTTGCCGATCGGCGCGGGCCCTCGCACCCCCCTCCCCCCCCCCCGTGGAGTAGATCTTGGCTGTTTTTGTTGGCGCCTGTTTCGAGCAGGTGGAGTCTCCCCCATAGGACGCACGGTTCCAAACACTGGCACTAAGCAGAGGTCCAGAGCCACCCCCCCCTCCTCCCCCTCCCTTACGCGCAGTGTCGAAACGCCAAAACAAATTAAAAACGCGCACATCGCGAAATTCCACGACTGGAGCTTTGGACCCTTTTCTCTTGCCGGCACGATCGAACTCTTAACGGACAGTATGGGTACGAAGACCAGCAGCGATTCTTGCCCATTTTGAGCAGCATTCGCTGTCCGCGTCGCCGCGGACGTGGTCCCTTCGGGGCAGGAGGCCGCCTGCCCAACAGCGGCCGCTGTGGGTTTGGGACAGCATTTGTGGTGAGGCACCGTGCAAGTTTTGTCCCGTGCCCATTGCGGGCGTCATCCTTTTTGCCGCGCTTTTGACCCGGAGCGACCTCTGAAACGGGAGGAGGGATGAGGGAGGACGGGGGAGGGAGGAGGGAGGGGGGAGGAGGGAGGAGGGAGGAGGGAGGGGGGAGGAGGGAGGAGGGAGGAGGGAGGGGGGAGGAGGGAGGAGGAGGAGGCGGAGGAGGAGGCAAGTCGCCACAGTGCAGAAGGATGGCGAAACGCCCGGACCTCGGGGGCGGGCGGCCGGGCTAACCCTCGCCCTGCGCCGGGCCCCCCACGTGAGCGCGCGTGAGCACCCTCGTCTCCGCCAAGACTTGCCGCGCTGGTTTGGGACGACCGACTTGGGTACTCCAGATTTCGTAATAAAAGGGAGGGGGTCTGGACCCTCCAAGACAAGCCATTTCAGACCTCCCCCGTGGGAGAACCATGCAACACATCGTCCCCAGACCCCCCAGGTCCTCCAAGATAGCCTGGAAGAGACCCCCCCCCGAAATGAGACCCCCCTCCCTTTATTACGAAATCTGGAGTACAATGCCCAACAGCAGCTCTGTTCGTTCGGTGTCGCCGCGGCCTGTGTCCATTTGAGACAGAAGGCCGCCTGCCCAACGGCGGCCGCTGTTGGTTTGGGGCAACATTTGTTGTTGGGCATCGTACCCATTCTTTCCGTACCCGTTTTGGGCGTCCACATTGGTGGCCTGCGTAAGCCTTCGCGCACTCCTCCTCCTCCTCCTCCTCCTCCTCCTCCTCCTCCTCCTCCTCCTCCTCCTCGTGGCGATGTCCTGACCACGTGGTTACCCAGAGGCCCCATTTTCGAGCAGTTCCTTGTGGACGGTCCCGGGGCCCGGCGCGGGCCTCCAGGGGCAGAGGAGCAGCGAAAACATGCCCGCCGTGCGTTTTTTTCCAGAGCGCGAAGGGGTTCGGGCGGGGCCAGGACTGAGGCGAAGTCCGCTCCAGACCCAGACATGATCGCGTCGTAAAAATAGGTTCTGTTGTGCGGATAAACGTTTTCAGCAGGATCAGTCGCACATGATTGAACGTCTACTTGTTGGTATGGTCAATTGCAAATACAGACTCCTTTTTGACGTTGCGTTTCTGATCCGTCGTCAATTTTTTCGTTCTGTAGCCGAGCGGGTTCAAGTGCTTCATACCAAACCCGCCACTCGTCATCCATCGACTGGGATTTGCCAAAACTAGGCTAGCTCGCTCGCTCGCAGCGATCATCCACCAGAGGTTTCGAGCTTCCGCTGCGGTTTAAGATCGCGAGGAAGCATGCTTCGCAACGGAGTGAATTTGAATGGCGATGGGCGCCCGCTCAGAGAGGCGCCTGAAAGCAGAGGCGTTCCGGAAAGAGTGCGGGCGATGAGAGGTCAACGGTATAGGGAATTTCCTACGCACGGCGACGGCGCATGTGGCATTCATGCGCTCGTCGGAGAAACAACTCGAGCAGGTGAGCTGCGACATAAGAAACCCAGAGATTTCTTACGAGGAACGTTCGGCGAGACCGCAGAGGAATTTCGCAGAAAGTGTAGGAACGTGCAAGTTGTGGAAGATGTCATCAATTGGGTGTGGAAGCAGGTCATTAAGCCGCAGGCGCAGAAACACGCAAATTTGACTGATCGAGATCTTGGCATGATGTACGAAGAAAAAAAGGTGTGGAAGAACGCTAAGAAAAAGGATGTCGCCTTCGATGCGTGCGTGAGCGCTGTAAAGCTGGAGCGCAACGCCCTGTCCGTGTTCACGGAGAAACGCGAAGCAGTGGCATTGGCGCTCAGAAGCTTATGTCAGGATGAAATGAAAGAGGTTTTTCTGCGTACGCTGCTTGTTCACATGGATATACTTGATGATTACGATCGTGTCAACGATGGTGGGTATCGTAAGATTGATATTGTTGGCGCCGACAGTGACCTCGGACAGCATTACCGACGTGGCATCATCGAGTATTCTGGCGTTTCTAACATGAATGTTCTTTTGAGGCACCTGGAGGCAACTGTGAACGACTTGCAGAATGCGGATGTGGATAAGGCATTTGGCGCTGGAGTTGGACGCTTTGTTGACCTGGTGAGAGAGGCCCGCGCAAGTGCGCCTGTCGTCGACGCGGGCGAATCTGTTTTGTCTCGAGAACCGTTCCAGGACTTCCTCTCCATTGTGTATCCGTGCTACTTGGACGCTTTAAGTTCGGAGAAATATTTTTGAGTGATTTAGAGCTCCTCTTATTATGTGAATGCGGACAGACCAACGCAGTCATCGCGCGAACTGTTAGCAATGAATTGATTGTTCTGACGAGAATTGCCGATCAGACCACGCAGTCGCACGAGCGTCTGCAGAGAAGCGGGCGAAAACGGGATCGTCGATCCCAGGCGAGGGCGAAGCGGGCGCTCCGGCGAGCTTTGCGCCAAGCTCGGGAGGGGGGCCCATCTTGCAACAAGAAAGCGGCGCGAAGCCACCCAGCCTCCCCTTTGACGTGATGGAATTCTTCGGGCGCGCTGGCGTTTCCGCTGGGGCCCGCGACGGATCGATGGCCCAGTCAGCGGGGGTAGAAGCCGCGCCGCCCGGCTCGGACTCTAGCGAGAGTGCCAGCGAGGCGTCGGAGAGCGACGAAGAGGAAGCGGAAGAAGGCGAAGATGAGATGTACTTTTCCGCTCGTGCTCTCAGCGCGCGTCCAGCAGGATGGCCTCCGACTGAAATGGGTGTAATTTCAAGGCGGCGCAGAGAACTCAGAAAACTGTTGCGGCGGCGACCAACTTTGCCCTTGAGCGTCGAAGGGGTGGAGCTTACTGCGGCGGACCTGAGCACTGGGATGCGCTTGCCATTGTACTCTTGCCCTGGCAAGAACAGCACGAAAGGCCAGTGCAATTTCCACTCGAGCGATCGCGCAGCGTTCGCGCATCACATTGCAGGAGGCGCCGTCGATCGCACGCACAAGGCAGAAATCTCCGAGATTTGCGCAGACGACATTGGCTGGATGGATAATGCTACAAACGTGTCCGAAGCTATCGCCTTCGCAGAAAGAGAGAGATGGCCGCTTCTTGGTTTGTCAGTCACGCGGCGTTCCTTGAATCTCCTGGTTCGCAGATGCAACGACGAAGCAATCCAGTGTCTCGCTTGGTTCATCTGTGCTCAACAGCGCACGACGTGCGCAGGATATCCAGCGGTGGATCTGGAGAACAGCCAGGCGAACCATTCTTTGCCATTCCATTCCGAGATTCGCTTTTACACGCAGGCAGATCCGCCAGGGTTCGCCTTGCGCCGCTGGTCCTCTCTCTCGGAGACTGTGCTATGCAAGAGCTATGTCGCCAGGATTATGCGCTGATGCAATAAACGCGTCGGAAGAACGCCCCCTCGCAGATGCTGAGGCCTCCGCCAGGCGGGGCCTAGTAACCAAGGCTTTCTTCAGCACTCCACACTCGCCGTAACAGTGGAAGCTGGAGCCTTCAACTCGTGGGTGGGCCATCATGCTCGAGCCTGCGCTTGGGAAGCCCCGAGCGGAGGTCGGCGGATCTCTGCGCGGTGGAAACAGATTTCCCAGGTACTCTCCTGAACAAGTGCTGCTACATTTTGTCGAAAAGACGATATTACGGCATCGGCCAGGAAGACCGACGCAGCAATATTTACCCGTGGAGGAACAAAGAGCTCATCGAAGATCGGTCGTTGGAAGAGCACATGGAACATCGGGAACGGCGCGTCTCTGGCTGGGCCACCCAAATGGCGTGCAAGGAACGCGTCGGCACGCTGTTCGGTTGCACGGAAGACATTCGCTGCCGAGCAAAGACCGATCGCCGCGTCAACGATTTTACCTCCGAGCTTTTTTATAGGAAGCTTTGTGGAGACTGCGAATTGCCAGTTTGCCAGGGCTGCTGAAAAAATAATTAAAAAAAAACAATCAAAACAACAAAAACTACATCATCACGGCGGCAAGTCTCCATTTCGAGACGGCGGGACGATTCCCATGAGCATCCGCAATGACAATTTCTACGGCCATGCGCAGCGATATCTCGTCGAGAAAGATATTACGTGGTTGGAATGCGCTGCCTGCTGCACTGTCTGGAGCACGATGCTTGTCTACTACCTGGAAGCTCCCTTTGGCAACCTCATCGATGTGCCCCTGGGGAAGCCAGAGGGCAGAACGCAAGTGAAGGGGAACCCGTTCAGCTTTTCCATGCCGTGGGAAGACATAGAGAAGTGCTGTCGGTAAGCGAGTAAGCATGCAAACAGTAGCGGGCCGAAGAACTTGCAGATGCTGCAGGAAGACTTGGGCTTGCCGCGCAGCGAAGAAATTCTCGCCATGCTGGTCAACGTGCATATCGTGGGAGGGAGCAGACTCGCGTTGCATCTCGAAGGCTTGACCCTGCGCATTCACGCGCTGGAAGAATAGATCAATATCACGCGGGACACCGGATACCCTGGGCACGACATGGATGGCGTGAATTCCGAGTCCAGGATGGGCGCGCGTTTGCGCGAGCGATACAAGCAGAAGTACCCGGACAAGTGCGGGACTGTTCGGTTCATCCCGAAGGCGGTGGAGGACGCTGTTCGGCATTTGAAGGGCGCCACAGAATCGATCGTGCAGGACAAAGTTGCAACCCCTCCCGAGGCACCCAAGAACACGCAGGAGTGGGAAATGACGTCGAGGCCACATCATATCGTTCCTGAGCGAAGCAGTCGCAGCCAGGCCAACATCCACGAGAACTACACGCACATGTTCAACAAGTTCGGAGATTTGCAGATTACAACTGGCACTGAGATGACTGACCAGTTCAACGCGTGGTATTCAGACATGGCATTCCCCTACACCCTGCCCTGCGCGGTCGGCGGCTACGACGTTCCACATCGGCCTCGCCGGCGCAGGCCCGAAGACAAAGACCTCCCACAGCACGAGGAACGACAAGTTCTCAAAGAGATGTGGTCGCCTTTGGAATCGCGCTCGGCGCGGAACAGGCTCCCTTATGAATGCTCAACCGTGGGGCCAGCGTGTGTCGTGAAACTTGGGGACCTTGTCCGCGGGCTGCCGCATCGAGGGTCAGTTCCGCCGCCATTGGGGATTCACGCCAGCATTGTGGAATTTGTTCTTCAGAGAGCGCGTCAATCTAGGAGCGAGCCTCAGCGTCAAGACGAGCCCCCAGGATTCCAAGAGTGGCAATGTGATCGAGACAGATGCAGCTATAGCCGCGGCAGACTTGTTCGAGAAGCTTGAGAAAGGGAAGTATATCGACCCGAAGGGAAAGGCGCGCATAATTAACAATGATGCCAGCAAGCTGCCTTTCGCTGTGAACCTGAGCCAGCCCCAACGGAAACTTCTCGCAGATATGCGTTTTCGTTGTGGTGCCATCCCTGGCACGCAAGAAATGAGGACGAATATTGGCCACCTCGGTTGCTGGGCATGCGTGAATTATGGCACCGGCATTTTCTGCACGATTTCTCCAGGAGAGCGGAACAACTATTTGGAATGCAGACTGAGCCGATATCGCGAGGACGATCCTTTTGTTGCTCGCAGAAACAGAAGGAAGTGGGCTGGCGAAGACGCACCAAGCCCGGGGCCGACGACTGAAGACAAGTTTGAACAGTCTGGCCTGCAGTCAGATGATGCAGTCGAGTTCGATACTCCAGGCTACGATTTGCGTCGCTTATTGCTCGCGGAAGATCCGTTGTCCGCAGCCAACGCGTTCTTCGTGCAGATTAGAACCGTTTTGGCTACGATGCTTGGCGTGCGGATGTGCCCGAATTGCCCGCGCTGCTCGGAAACCCCGTGGCCTTGTCAGGATGCCCTGGGCAGTTCTGCAGAACCGATGGGAGGCATCGCTGGCCGCGTCGACGCTCTCTTCGGAGCCGTCGAAGCGCAGAAGACGACCGGCGGATTGCATCACCATTTCTTTATGTTCGCGCAGCGCCTGCACCAGCGCGCCACGCTCATGGAAATTGCCGAGAAGCTTGAGGAAGGGCTGGTGCAGGCGGACGATTTGAAACATTTTCTCTGGGAAATTTGCTGCGATAGCTACCCAGACGTGGAGCAGTTCAATCGCGACAGAACGTCCTTAGAAGAGAATTTCCCGACGTATTCTGAGCAGACCGAATGCTCTGGGACCGCTCCGCGCTGGGGAGAGTTCAAGTTGGGGAGAGTGCCACAGCGTCTGTACGCTGGCGGGCGCGACGCTCCAGAATCTTCGACGCGCTCGGCGCAAGATGAGATGCCGTCGCCCGTCAACGCAAGCGACGGCGCGGAGTTCAGGGCGTGGTTCAACAGAGCCTTCCAGTGTCCAGCTGCCTGCGGCAATTCCCGCCACCGTGTCTGTCCAGTTGTTTCGGTAGTATTTGAGCGAGGGCGCGCGGAAGTCGTAACCTGTGACGCATGGTGTTTTCAGAATCGCTGGTGGTGGTGTTTAATGATGGTGGCGTGGTGTTGTGGTGGTTGGTGATGATGGCATGATGATGGAGGAAGAAGGGGGTCCCGTGTGATGCCTGAAGCGTCAAATGAGGTCCCTCTTCAGATATCAGTTGGCACTGTTTAGCCTCTACTAAAATACGGTAGCGCCCAGAGACGCTCTGTCCTGACTAGCAGAACCCTACCAGACAGACCCTGGCATCCATGCACGCCCCAACGTGCGAAGACACGGTGGTGGATTTCCAGAGTCGCTGCCAGCACCACATTCATCGTCTCGTCGTGGACCCGAAGACGAAGCAGGAGAAACGCCTGATCCCGAATGCCTGCGCGAGCAAGGGCAACAAGAGAGAGTGCAAGCACGAAGCCCCGTGGACCATACGCGTCTCGCCCGAGTGGATGACGACGCCGCTGCTCGTTTGCAAGGGCATTGCGAGGCAGTTCAAGCTGCGCACCAGCGGCGTCCGCAACTGGCTGGGGCAGACTCTCGGCATGCGCAATGAGGCCTGGGTCAACGGATGCATGCCCCGCCTCTGCGTGGCGTTCGCTGGCAGCAACAGCGATGTGAAGCCCAATGATAGATTTCCGATCATTGAGAAGACGCACGAGACCTGCTGCAGAAGGAAATGATGCATCATGCAAAAGAAAAGCCTGAGGAATGCCACTCGAGCGGCGCAGCGCGCGCAGACAGTCACGATGGGCTACTTCGGCGGCTGCATCGGGAAGCGCCAGCCGGCGGGACAAGCTATTCTCTTTGAGAGAGAAGATTAAAGGAAGAGGCCAAGCAGCGCAGCTACGGGCAGCCAGCGGCAGAATGGTGACCGACTTGGAGATGAACAGTACGTATCGCGGAGCTGTGGAGGTGTTCAATCTCTGCCGCAATCACCACCCCCAGGACGTCCTCTTTGCAGAGTGCATTCGGACTTTCAGTTCGCAGGCCGCAGATGGCAGATCGTGGATGTCCCGTCTGAATTCGCAAGAACAGAAAGTGCTGGACAGCAGCGGTTCTACGCACGTGCCTCCCACGCCCAAGCCGAACGTGCGCACAGATAGGTCGAGACCCATCGACGTTGATGCCTATGGTTGCCGACCGCTGCAACATCCTTGGGGCTTGCTTTCACCTCGCGAGTTCATGCAGCAGTGGCGCTGCGTGCCACTCCTGACGCCCAGCCAGTATCATAATCGCCTTGAACCAGAGCGCACGGAATGGACAGCAGAAGGGAAGAAACTCATAAAAATATTACAGAGATGGCAAAAACACGGCCAGGCCCGGAGTGCATTACACGGCTGTCGATCCTCCTGTGTCAGACGAGTATTTCCTGTTCCCAGAGAATAGCGACAAATTCCGCCACGCTTGGGCTTTGGTTCGGAAGTGCCGACCTGACGTTGTGGTGATCGACGGTTTGGCCCTGCCGAGCATGAACAAGCCGCCGGTCTATAACGCGAAGTACTTCAATCTGTTCTTCCGCCCGTGGACACTCTTTACTGGAGATGCAACGGTGCCTCATATCAGCTACCTGGGTCTGAGCACGTCGTCGCTGCAGCGAGTGCTCGCTGCCCCGAAGAAGACCCGTGGGAAAAGACCAGCCGCCCATCTCGACCCATTGAGTGGCAAGGTTGACTGGCCGAGCGCGTGGTCCGAGTACGTTCGGGGGAACGTGGTGAGCGAAACCGCCGCTGGACTGATCCAGAATTTCTTGCTGAACACGCTGGCGGCATCCGGAGGGGCGGCAGACGAGGTGGGGAGCGAGGCCGATGCCACAGAGGACGAGTCCGAGCTGCCGCCGATGAAAGTGCCTTGCCGGAAGTTCCAACAACTGCTGTGCAGCAGCGCGCTCGGCGCGGCACCTGAAGAGCTTGAGAACGAGGCAGCAGCGGCAGAAGCGGCGAAAGCAGCCCCCCGTCCAGTCTCGAGAAAAAAGCGGTGAACGCCAGCCGCGCCCGGAATCGGAACCAGGAGTATGAAAACAGTCATCTCATTGGCGAAAGGGCGTGGAAAACAGATGCATGCACCACGGAGGCCGGCGACCGAGGAAACCCAGGGAACATGCGCGAGAACGATTACAGGGACCATCTGGATGCGTTGGCAATGCATACCAGGGACACTGACAGGTTCGAAGGCCCGTTCAACGAGAAGCGCTGTAGAAATGCAATGTTCAATCCTTCCAAGGATGAGAGAAGCATCGACGGTGCCCTGCAATCTATCATGTCTGGGACGAAGAGGCCGAACCGCGAACAGCAAGACTTCCTAGAGCACTTCACCAAGCGACTGAAAGTAGAGAGGTCGGAGCAGGTGAGAGACTGTGTGAATGACAGCTCTGGAGAGCCTCTGCTAGACCTGGTGCATGGGTTTCTTGGCACGGGCAAGAGCGTTGCAATCGCGTGGATGACAGGTCATGGAGGAATCCGGGGGCAGCAAGCGACCACAACCACAGCGAGAGCACAGCCTGGGGGATATCGTAAACATTCCTTGGGCATTGAAAACGTCGAAACGGCTTAGTAGTGCTTCTGGTTGCTATGGGCGCACAGAACGCACATAGCAGCCAAAGCCATCCTGTTCACGCCAAGGACGCTGGGTTCCCTCCCCCAGAGAAAAGGAAAATCGAAGTAACGCACATATCAACCGGGGGCAACCTGTGCACGTCGAGGTCGCTGGGCCCCCTCCCACCAAGAAAAGACCGTAGAAGTAGTTGGGGTTGTGGTCGCGTGATGTCCCTGAAAGGAAGGCCTCGGCTGGGAGCACGGGTCCCTTTTTGTGTGCCTCGCATTCCAGAACGCAATGACAGCGCAGATCAACCCAGACACAGTGCACCACTGGAGCGGCATAGCCGTCAGGACCGATGGTGGGGAAGGCTTGGGCGAGATGCGCAAACTTTCCATGAAGCGCCGGGCGATTCGCGTACTCATCATCGATGAAGTCAGCATGATGGACGCCGAGCTTTTAGGCAAGCTGGCAGAAAAGGTGACCAGGGCGGTGAGGAATCGAAATACATGCAAGATGAGGCGCGGCTTATCGACGAGCCTGCCAGAGTCCAAGCGAGCCTGCGGAGGTATCAACGTGATCATGTGCGCAGATTTCTGGCAGGTGCACCCAGTGACGGGCGCGCTCCTGGCTGCCAACCCGCGATGCGTGCCCAGAGGCCTCCCTTTCAGAGCAATCGAGACGTTCTGGGGAGATGCAGAAAACCCCAACACGATCAGGAATTTCTGGCAGCTGACGCAGTTGATGAGGTGCGACGACGAATGGTGCAACGATTCCTCTCGCTTCGCGGGGTGCACGTCCGGACAGCGTAGAGTCCAGGCGTTGGGGAATTGTTTGAGAGCTTGTTAGAGGTTTCCTGGAAGCATTGATGCGTTGGCTTTTCGTCGCGCTGATTTTTCGGACTCCTTTTTCGTCGTTCGAGTCCGTTGCGGCGTTCAGTGTACTCGGCGCGTCGACATTTGCGCAGCGAGTGAACTCCTCTCGATGCGCGTGTGCAATTTCGGGGTGAGCGGCACGTCTG